TTGTTTTACTGGGGCACACGACATTTCAGGAAGGACCCTGATTTCAAGCAAAGTTGGTCTGAAGGACCCATTCAATTCTAGTTACAAGGGACTTGTTTCAATAAGGCTTTCTGGGTATAACTAGGTATGTGCCGGCCTGTTTACAGTCAGACCAGTTGCTCCTTCACGCCTCTCCCCGATTCCTGGGCTCCCCTGCTCAGTCTATCCTATGATGGAGACAGAAAAGAAAATGCATACACAGAGAGAGGGAGGGAAGGAGGGAGAGAATCAAACGCTTTCACTGAAGCCGAGGACATGTTTTGACTGTTTAACAGGCTGTTTTCTCTGAATCAGATCTACTCCAAGCCCATTTGCACTATACGGATCTGACTGTTTCACAGATCTAAACAGTGTGTGTATCAGATGCAGCTCAGTGACACCAACAATGAAAACAACAGCTCTAGAGTAGGATATAATGGCCGATAGGATCTGCAAAGCATCCTAATTGTCCACGAGCAGCAGCCACATGTAGCAGAGCTTCTCCCCCTCTTCAGTTTCCCCTCCACAATCAGGGGTAATTGAGACTTGAGCAGCCTTCATAATAAGTGACAGGTGAAGCAAATTATATTCCCAGCACCAAAAATAACAGGACAATTTTCCTGCCATGATCCATCACTCAGGTATGGCACAGCTCTGGGAGTGACAGCTCCCGGCCTGCCTCCTATTAAAGGCAAGAGTTGGGGGTGGGGGAGGCACTGGAGATGCAAATGAGGCAAATTACATATCATGAGCAATTTCTCATTTGCTCGCTCCACTGAACTCATTCTGGGGAGGGACAGGCTGGATTTGAGAGGCCTCGGCCCTATTTCCCCTGCTACGATGCCAGATTGACTCAGCATGGCAGTGCCAGTCCCCTCCTTGAGAGGCATTGTTTACAGGCATCCCCTGCTGAGAAGGTGGCAGAGTAGGAGGCAGGTATTCATGCTGGATACTTGCCTCCTGCTGCTGCTGCTGCTTTCCAGGGAAAACCTGGCTGGGTTTGCACTGCCTGGGGCCCTGGGGAGTTTGTTTTTAGAGCCTTTGCAAATAGCCAAGAAGGGAGGAGACATTTCGCACGCGTTTCCCCGAAGTGGATCTTCTGTTACAATACCTTCGAATAACATTTCCGCTCAGCTGCCCTGCTGGCTTCCAAGCAGACACGGCCTGACTCGCCACCCTGGCATCATAGGTGTGCCCGAGGCGCGCCCCGATCCTGATTCATTTAGCTTGAGTGCATCAGCATGCTTGAATGATGGACCCACGCAGAGATTGCTGCCTGTACCATGCACAACATCATACAAGAAGAGCCTACCTGGGTAGGTCGGTCTCTGACCATCAAGGGGACTGGCTTAATATGTACTTGTGCCTTTTCTATGCCACAGTCAGTCAGTGAAATGTGGGGGGAGTAATGCAAAGATCTTGCACCAGACAGAAATTCAGGCCCCCTGGTGAATGCTGGGCCAGTTCACACACCTCAAACCTTCCCTGCTGCCCATATCTGTACCAAAAATAAAATAAGGAGCTCCTTTTTTTTTTTTATGGGAAGAGCCTTTTAAAATCCTTGTCTATTTTTGCTTCCTCTTCACCAGGGCAAGCATTGCATTTGCCTGGCGATTAAACAGAAGTGGTGCTGAGTGGGACAAGACAAGAGTGTGGCCCTGAAGGAGAGCTCAAGAGCTCTTGGAAACTTGGCTCTAATGAGCTAACTGGAGATCATTAACCCCACTTCAGAACAGAGCAGCCCAACAGCAGCACAAGGCACAAGAGGTCAGGGAAGGGAGGGACAGGAAGCAGCTTGGATAAGTGACATATGTATGATCGTGAGACTAGCTGTTTTACTCCCAGCCCAGTAGGATTTAAATGCTCACACTTCCCTGCTCCTGGAGCCTGTCCCCTCCGCAGAAGCTCTCAGCATTACAGAGCAAACCCTGCTCCCTGGCTACTTGATGTCAGTAATCCTCTTGTAATTAGGCCAAGGTGCATGGCACCTCTGTGGCAGCGGAGGCAACTGCAGGAGCCCCCTGGGAGGACGGTTAGAGGAAAGGACCAAGGTGAGCAGGGCTGGGAGGTTTATTGCTTTATGCTGACACGCACCATAGTTGCGCACACATCTCTCTGGCAAGCAACTTGCTCAGATGACTCACCCCCTGCATGTGGATTCCTTACCGCTTGCAAAGACTTGGCACTGGAGGGGGCTGACTGTGACCAGGCACTTCCCACCTGGTCTGCTCAGCAGTTAGGGATGATACAGGTGCATCAGTTCACCTCCAGAGTCCTTAAGTCTCTTGGCAAGCGAAGCATACTTTAGTCAGAGAGAGCAAGGCTTAGTTTAAATCGGCATGCAAGGCATGCTGGCACTACCTGCAATAGTGTTGGCGCATTTTGCAGAAGGATTCTCAAGAAGGGTCTGCGTTCAGCTCTCTTTCTGGTCTCCCCTACGCAGATTTAGCCACTGCTACACTTGTACTAGTGCTCGCTGCATGGAGAAGGGTAGCTATAATTTGCACCACTAGAGCTGCCCTGGCTTCTGAGGCGGGCGACAGCTTATGGGGATTTTTAATTTTGGTCTAATTTTGCATTGCTGCAGCTACACCAATCGGTGTTCATCACCAGGGGCTGAATGAGGACTGATCCCAAGTAAGGAGATGGCCAGCCTCACTTTAGAAAGACAAACTGCAATTAAAGTGAACCACCTTGATAGCATAGAGGGCAGGATGCAAAGCCTTTTGATGTGCAAATAACCTGCAGCCACTTTCCTAAGCCACCAGCCCCCTCCACCAACATCCCCTGCCTTACATCTGCTAACACAAACCCAAGGCCCTCCGGGGAGGGTGGGGGGGAAACAGGCTGAATGTTTGTTCTTGTCCCTTCCCTAAATGAGACGACAGCTGTTCCCTGGTTCATGGAGGGACCTGACTGGCTGAAATCAGGTGGTTGAGGGGATAAGACCCGCGGGCAGCCTTCATTAATCATTACTTTAAAAAATAATTAAGAAACCAGCATGTAAATATGTGAGGGCAGCAGCTGCAAGATCAGCATGTCCCATTTAGCACGATACCTGCTGTCTCGGCGCAATGAAATATTAGGCTGTTTGTTTAGCATCCTGCTAAGCACCCTCCCTGTAATGCACTTGTTCAATGAGGCAATAGAAATAATATTAAGAGGCTCAGGCAGCTTTGTGGGGCTGTGCAAAGAAAAAGGGACAGCATTACCCATTTACACTGGTGCCTACAGCATTGCCCCGGCTTCCTCACAGATGCACTGAGCTGGGGCTGAAAGGATATTTCTTCACAGTCTTGCAGACAGGTGTCTCTCACCTGGAGAAAAAGCCTCAAATTGCATGCGCTCTCCATGGGCTTTTTAAGCTGCTTGGGTATTGATCACAGACTTGTGCTCCCCCTGCACTTCTCTCCCGTGACAGCAAAGCTGCAGTATCTGTCTAGCAGCCAGCATGGCTTTTCCATGCACAGCCAGACTTACCAGCTCACATGCTAACTACTGGGGCAGAGATTTCACACACACCAGCGAGTGTATGGTTGAAGTGGAAGCAGTTAGGCATCAGATGTGTCCAGCTGACCGACAGTGCCTCTGCCACTGCCTCTATTGCTCCATCAGCATCACTCCCCCGGACACAAGAGTTTGGAAGGAACTAGGCCTAGTGAACACCAGACCCTAGAACCAAGTCATTTGCTTCCCTATCATTTTTTAATCTAGACAAGTAATGGCTGTCAGCCTACTGAAGAGGTAGCTGCAATGACTTGTCCGTCACATAGAGACAATGCATTTACAGAATCGCATCAGGTAGCGTTCCCAAAATTCACTACTGGAAGTCTTGCATTTGTAGATGCAGAGAAAGATAGGATGCAAGTGAAGAGTTTTAATAAACACTGATTTTTAACCTGCTTTTTTCCCCCCCTGGGAGGTAGAGAGGACATGAAGGCTTGAGTAACTGGCAACATTGGACTTCATTAACCCAAAACAGTCTGGTGAGAGCAGCGAGGCCCAGAAACAAAAGTGTCCATCCCTCCCACATCTTAATACCAGGCTACAGTTACTGCCCCCCTTGTTTTAATGTCAGCAGAGTTATACCTAAGGCAGAGCTCCCTCCCTCAAAGTCCTACCCTGTCCTCCATTAGAAGCAGAAAGTCTCTTTTGCTGCAGTGATCAGTCTCCCTGTGGAAGCCGACGGTTTAGCCAGCTTCAGAGTGGGATTGGACAAATTTTTGGAGAAAGTGCATGAGTAGCTATTGAGCGCGCGAGTTCAGAGCCACCAAATCAAAATTTCCAAGACCCTAAATGCTGGAGGCTGCAAGTGGGCAAGGAATGGTGGGGAACAAAACCAAACCCTGGTCCCACCCTGTTCACTCGCCCTTTAGCATCCTCTCTACCACAATGGGTGCATCTGCATGAGACACTTAGTGCCCACTGGACTACTTTTACTGCACATTAGCGGAGTTGACAAAAACTGTGCTAATGTGCAGTACATTAGTCCAATGGGCATCACGTATCACACAAAAAGAGCGTTAGTCTGCGGTAATGCGCAGTAGCGCAGATTACAGAGGATTAAGTTTATTACCTGTACTAACTTAATGCACTGTAATTACAGTGTATTAATGAACGTGTATGTGTGTGTGCGCGTCCTGTGTGACACAGGAGACTGGCCAAGCTGGACCTACTGCCCAACCCCGCAGTTCTGAATAAGCATTGACAGCTTTACTATGTGAATGAGGGCAGCTCCTGCCTTTGACCTGCCCGAGCAAGTTTCTAGAAGTCTCAGTACTGAAGGTGACATTTTGCATTGAGTCGCTCCCTGTCCACAAGCTCAGATGTGCCCAGAAATTCCAGGAAGGATTAAACACCACAGATTTAGAGCGAAGCAACACACCCACCAATTCAAAGACAGCAGCACCCTACGGTGGCAAACACTGGCATAGCAAGCAAGCCAACCCAGCACAGGAAGGTTTGAGACGGGGAGACAGCGCAAGTGTAAAAAGACCTTTTATTTGAGTCCAATAAAGGATTGCTTAACGCTACATTGAGAAGACAGGCATCGTCTACAACCAGCCATCTTGCAGAAGTAAAACTAGGGGGTCCCCAACTTGATTAAATCCCAGAAGGGCTTGCATAAAGCTGCATTAATTGGTTAAATGCACACGCCTTTCCATCTGCAGGGGCCATCAGAAGGCCGAAAGTGTTGAGACCAGCCCCCGTGATTCCTCCCCCTCAGCCCACTAATTCTTTAGAAACACTGTGCCAGTTCATGTTATGCTCTTAAGCATCCAGCAAGGAGGCCAAGGTTTCCCCACCACTATTTTCCATGGCATGTGGATCTGGATCAAGTTCAGATTTACCAAGAAAAATCACGTCATTCCACAGCAAAACAGGATCTTAAGTTAGTGGTGCCTCTGCAGACCTCAGGACCGTGCATAGCTTAGTGTTTGCACAAACTGGCAACTCCCACCCCTTCCCCCCCACAGTCCTAGTAGGTCTCCGAACCAGGCTGAGCTGCTGCTACTGCTGAGAGCTGCTGCTCTGGTTCTAGGCTACACATTTCTCCCATAGTCTCAAGGAGAGCCCAAGACCACAGGGTTTGTCTTGGAGTCAGAGGAGGCTACAGGGCCAGCCTCCAAGAGCAGGTCTGGCACAGCAGTCAGCTGCATCTCTGCTGGAGGCTGCCCTTTTGCTCCTGACAACAAGAGAGCCGTTGCAGCTGCACTATCCTTTAGGGAGCTGCTTTGTTCTGTTGAAGCACTGACCCCAGCTCCCCCTTCCAGTACCATTTCTGCTCCCTCTGGTGAGCTCCTTTCCAGAGCAGCATGGGAACCAGCTGAAAGCACAGGCTCTCCCTTGGCAAGGTCTCCATCCTCTGGAGGGGTATTAGGTTCTACATCACAGGCAACCAGAGGGTTCAAGGCCGGCTGTGCTCCTGGGGTTCCTGCAGAGACCAGGGGGCTGGGACACTCTTGGGCAGGCAGGGTTTGTTCAGCACTTCGGTTCGGAGCATCCGCGTCATCCAGGCAGGAGACAACTACTGCAACGTGCGTGTCCTGGCCTCTGTCATCCTCCAGCAGATCCACCTTTGAGCAACTGATGTGAAGGGACAGAGCCTTGCAGCCATTAAGCTCAGCAGTCTTCGGAGGATCTCTGCCCGCTCCATGATCCACCTCCCCAGAGCCTTCACCAAGAGGCTTAGCCATCACGCTGGCTGGGGCTTCACTCTGCATCTCCTCACACATCTCACCAGCCGCGACAGCTTCTGCACATGGTTCATCTTTGCAGCTCTTCTCCTCCACAGCTTGATGGTCCTGGCTGCTTGGAGGTGTGCTGCTGTCCATTGCTTCAGCATCCTCCAGTGTCTGACAAATGGTGTCCAAGCTGGTTGGGGAGCTGCTAGAGTTCTCTTCTTTGAGGTGGCTCCCTTCCCCTCGAGGGGTGGTTTCCAGAAGGGCACTGGTCCCTTTGTTATCATCATCTTGAGATCTTCTGCCAGGTTTCTCCCATGTCCTGGAGTGCAAGAGGGTTCACAGCACATTTATAATATACAGCTTTGGCAAAATGGAACATGGTTCAGCCGAGTCACCTTCAAGTATTAAACTGCATGAAGGACCTAGCCTTGGGAGGCTTTCACTGATGAGGATTCAACAGTCTAGCTGCAAGTCCTACTCATCTGATGGGGTGTCTACCACTCCCAGCCAGCTTTGGAGACCACTTTGCATAGTCAAACATGCAGTTTGATAAAAGAGGTTCAATAAAATGAGAAAGATTTCAGAGGCATAAAGGGGGAAGTTAGGCATGGGCTGATTCTCAGTAGGAAGGGAAGCTACTTGGGTTGCTTTTGGTTTCTAGGAGGAAAGAGCTAAACCTTTCTGCAGGGAGACGGTTAAATTGCATAGCTTCCTTGTGCACATGTAAGCCTATTCCCTACCCCAGAAAAGTGCTCATCTACTCATTGCAAAATCTATAAAATTTTGCAGCAAGAATCATCCAGGGGAGTGTTTGTGTTCATGTACCTCCTTTTCCCTAAAGAGAAATCAATGCACAAGCAAACGCACGTGGATAGAGTTGGAATAAGAGCAGAGCCATTAGCCAAGACCATTCTCTGGAAAGCCCACTCCAAGAGACATTTGTTCTACATTCGAGAAGCTAGTTGGAAGCTTTCCATAAGAAGGTGCAGCCAATTCAGTTCTTGCCACAAGCACCAGTCAGACATCTATTGCGGGTATTTTGCAAGGCTTTGCCTTACCTGCCTGGGCAGCCGTCTTCACTGCGAGCCTGGGCAGTGGGCAGGCCAGTAGAGGCTGCACTGTTAGTTCTTAGGATGGAGCGCCCAAGGGGCTGATGAGTTTGGCTGGAACCAGCTGAGCTGCTGCAAGAATCCAGTGGGGCAACTGCAAACAAGACAGCAGGGTTTCTTGGTACCAGTGTGCACAAACTTTGAGGCAGTGTGATAGTAGACCCATTTTCCAGAATATTCCCAAATGGAGTCTCTACTTTAAACATTGCTTGTCCAAACCACCCTTGTGAGTTTTAGCAGCATGCCTTTCACGCATACCTGTTTCAGAGCAGCTTTCCTTGCTCAAAGACTCTGGCTCATGTTCCAAAGAGGATGCATCTTGCACTTGGGACGTCACATCCTTTGGAAGGAGAGAAGGATGTCAGGGCAGAGTCCAATGCCATACTCGCTGCCTACTGTTAGCAGCATCCCTTTGTTTGGTGAAGAGCCCAGGGTGGACCGAAGGCCTTTTCATTCCTTTGTCATCCCCTCCGTTTGTATTGGCTTTGCCCTCATCTAGCAACAGAGCCCATCAAGTTTGCTCTGTGGGGGATAGGCCCAGGGTAATTCCAGCCCTTACCTCTCTGGATAAGCACACTGGCTTTAGAGAGACACCTTGGCGGATGGTTTCTAGCATTTCCTTCATCAGGTTCTGCCTTGGAGAGAAAGGTTCTCCTGTAGGAGAGAGAGGTGGGGTTGGACATGGGCCTTTCAAAGCCTGCGTGGATGAAAAATGCTTTCTGGTTTGGGCGCGGTATGAACTCCAGAGCTGCTTCTCACCACATTTCTAGCCTCATTTTGCTGAGGCCATTTCATCCAAACCCTCTCAGGAATCAGAGAGGAAAAATTCATTCGGTTGGGCCAGGCCATACAGGCATTCCAGTTGGGAGAGTTACAAGCACCGAGACAGTTTTACTGCCACCCACTTACGGGGTCTACTAGCCAGATCTCTCTCGCCTCCCCAGCCCTCGGTCACGACCCAGTGCCAGGTATACGTATACTGTTGGCACATACCATGAGCCTCCTTCTTTTGCTGTGGTGAGGTCTCTGCAGCTGGTTTTGTGGCCGACTTCTTGGGGATCTTAGAGAACAAGTGCCTAGAAAGGGAAGCAGTTTAGAGCATGACAGGTATGAGCTTTAAGGCCTGGGAGACTATTTTTTTTGTGCAGAGGCCCCTTGTCTCTATGCACAGCTGGGGACAAGACAAGTATGTCTGGCCCCCCTGGCATGGCACAGCTCAGCGCAGAGACTCAGTCCTTAGAAATCACCCTCTGATGCTACCAGGAGACCAGAGGCTGTCGCTTCTGCTGAAGAAAAAACACAACACACAAGCCAAAAAGCAAAAACACACTATATACCAGACACAGAACAGCTGCACTAGTACAGCCAGGGCAGTCAGGAAGTAAACTGCTCCAGCCCCAGAACTGCCTGCCACGGTACAGCACAGGGCCTGAAGCCCAGAGGCAAGTTGCAACACAGTGACTATCTTCATATTTTTCCTCCTGACACTATTCTCGCTCTAAAAACCTGCGCTGCAGAACTTAAAATTCCTTGTAGGAAGTGTACGATCCCCACTACAAGGCTTACCGAACTGTAGAAGACAGCAATGGTGTAGGAGGCACAGGCGGCGACAAGACAGATGAGGGTGGAAGAGCCAGGTGCACGGGCACAGCCCGATATCTGGAGGCAGGGAAAGAGCTTGCTAAATCCTGCAGGCGATTATGCAGAATCACCACTACAAAAAAGAGGGAGCAAGAGGCAGATAATTGCTTAGTGAAATAACTCTGGCATCTGCTCTGATGCCACCTGTCAGGCATTAGACCAACAAGGGAAGAGGCAGGTAAGACATGGGCATATAAGCCCTGGCCCTGACATCCTAGTCACGTCCCTTCATTTTCACCCATGAGCAAGGGAGACATGGTTCTTCCTGTTTGTCCTCATCTCAGAGCACTTCAATAGCCCATGTTACATGCCCTATTTTCCCTGCACATATGTGAGTATTTAGATCACAACCAAGCACCATACTAGAGGGCAGTCAGTGCTATCACACCCTTTCCCCAACACCGGCAGCAAGAGGTTTGGAGCAGCTTGGGTTACTGGCCACATTTTCACCTCCAAGGGAGTTTACTCAGAGCCTAAAGACAGACAAGAGAGTGATACAGAGACTCTTTGGCCACAAATCTGATATGCCAGGTCCTTTACCTTTACGTTGGATATCATAGATGATCTGCCTGGCCCTTACAACTCTGCACTCTGGCTCCGGCACCGGTGACCGCTCTAGGTCTATCTGCAGCTCCTCACTCTGGCTGGGCTGCACAGAACTTTGCTGCTCCACCTGTACCACCAAGAGTGGTTGAGGGAAGAAAAACAGGTCAGCGCCCCCAGAATCCAGGTCTCTCCAGCACTCCCATCATCCACCAAGCATCTGACCTACCTCTGGCCCCAGGAGTTGCTCCAGATCATTCACACGAGACAAAAGCTCTCTGGTCCAGGACTGGGAACATCTCAGTTCCTCTGCCAAATCTGAAAGGAGATGGCAGATCAGCAGGGACTCTTGCCCACTTTGCTGTCACTCACAGGCAGCGTCATTTTTAGCTGCCCTAAGAATCACCATAGACTAAAATTTGCCACCTCTAAGGATGCACTTGAGGATTTGCTTAAGTGATGCCAGCTCTGCTTTTGAGCTGGCAGCTCTCAAAACCATGGAGCAGCAGAGAGTTAGGAATAAAGACTGCCCCCCATTTTTAAGGAAGAAACTCAGGAAGGCACCATGTTATCTGGCTGGGCTAAGTCAGTACCATAGGTTTGGCAGCAACAAAGGATGTCTAGAGCCTCTTCTTTCTATGCTAGTGGGTTAGCGCTGCCCGTCCCAAAGCTCCACAGCGGCATTTACTTTAGAGAAGTATAGATTTATTTGAAATAGGAGACCATCCCTATGCACACCCAAAATACTTATGCTCTTTTGCCTACCCCAGGACAAAAAGGGAGCTTACCATGAAGGCGTTCTGGATCTGGTGTTGAAACACCTTGACTTGCTGTATCTCCGGTCTCAGGATCCAGCTGGGCTAAAGGAAAGGGACTGTCAAGCTGGGAACTTGCAGTGGTTTGGATTGGAGGCTCTGGGCCCTGGAAAAAAAAAAAATATATATATATAACAGTAACTCAAAACTACCCTCTACACTCCAAATCCCATTCAAGGTCTTATACTGCATAATTCACTGTGTGGATAACTGCATTGCTAGAAACTAACTCACTAGTCATGACCCTGCCCAGTTCACATCTAATCCAAGTGGAGAAGGGCTGTAGAAAATGCCCGACCAGAGGCATTCCAAAAATGCCATAAGGACAGAGATTACTCCTGTAATACTCCTACCAAACAAGGCCATTTTATCTCTCTCTCTCTGCATCTTTGTTTTTTCTATAGCTCATCACTGCGGTATTTTTCTGGAGGATGATTAACTAAAAGGGGCCATCTGGCACCAGAGAAGAGAGGGAAGCTCAGAGAAGCACCTTATGTCAGGACTGCAACAAAGCACTGCTGCTTAGTGAGTTTAGTCTCCCTATCCTGTTTGCCCTCGTTGGCAGACATGCCCAGGAGATCAGTTCCTGTTCCTTGTGGTCTGCTCACAAGAAACCCCCACAGATGATAAAAATCAAAGACCCCTAAAACTACCACACCCTTGTAGCCTTGGCACGGTTGTACTTGCACAAAAGTGCTCATGTTGGTAAAGTTAATTCTCATTAGGAAAAGGGAATGTTTTATGGTGAGACTGCTGCTACCTGCATAGCTATTTCAATAAGAGTCACCCTTAACTGAGAGACCAGATCTTGCACTGACCTTATTCTACTGCCTGCTGCCAAAGGAGGAAGGCCACTTCAGAGAAAACACACCAGAACAAGATGACTCAAAACCAATTTTTACACTAGTTTAATTCTAGTTGTACAAGAGGCCAGACGCATTGTGACATTTGTCATTTAGACAGGCCCCGAGCAGGTAAGTGTAAGAGCTGCGAGGTTGAATTTGGCCTAGCAATTCAGCAAACCAAACCACAGACTGATACTGCCACTTGGTGGCTACATGGCGTTAGCACTTGGTTTTAAGCTTTGCCCCGTGGAGCATTGTAAAATAGGGTAGCTGCAAAGAGAACTGGCCTCTCCAGACACACGTTGAGCTGGCCGACTAGCCTGTGGCTCTCTCGACCACGAGACCGAAGGACTGCTTCACACACACGCGCGCGCTCTCAAAAGGTCTACAGCACTTACTCTTTGGCAACGACTTGTATGACCGAATCATGCCAATAGTCTCATTGGATCCAAGTCATAGTCCAGTTCAGGGTCTTAATTACAAAGTTACCCTAATCTTCATTTACTGCAGCCAGTTAAAGTTCTTCTCATGTAAAATCTCTTTTCCAAGTGAAGAATAAACTAGGCACTTGGAGAGACAAGCGTCAAGGAAAATCACTTGTTTGATTCTGTAGAAACACTGGGTTAGACAGCCTGGCTGCTTGAAGTGAACGGTTCTTATCAACACAGAAACTAACACCCCCGTCCCCAATTCAATACTTAGTTGGGGTCAAGTTACAAATTTGGTTTCACATCAGACGAAAGCTCTTGAGGTCTGATAACTATGCCAAAAGAATCCTCCCCAAGGGCCTTAACAGAGGAAAGAGACTGCTTAGCACTATCTGATCCCCAAGGCAGGTATTTTCAGCGCTGCGTTAGGAGATTCCGAGTTTCAGTGTACTTTAAGAGATGAAGCTGCCCTCAACAGCCTGTTTCAGTGGCCCCCTTAAATGCCTATCCTAAAAAAACACAACAGTTCAGAATAGTCTCTAACTTCAGAGAAAGAGACCATTAAATGACGGTCACAATGGTTTCCCTTCAAGTCGTACCTCGGGTCTGCTATGCTCCGAGTAGACAGGAGCATCGGACACAGTTGGACGAAGCTGCTCCTTCTTTCGGGGACCCACGACAGCATCTAAGTGGAAGGGAAGACAGACTTCACACGCACGCACTTAGGCCAAGTTTGCAGAAATCTGGTTGCACAGGCTTTGTGAGAAACAACATGCAGGAAAGGTAATGCCGCAGTGGCAAGACCTATAGGAAGTTATTTTAAGCCTTAAAAAAAAGGTTGAAAGAGAGAGAGAGACATGCACAGACAGACATGAGCAGGACTCTGGATGCCAGTCCAGTTTGAGCAACTCTGGAGGATTTTCAGTACCCACAGAAAACACCTTAAAGAGATCTAATTTTCCCACAACCACTAGAATGGTTTCTACCTAAAGGAAAAAAAAAAAAAGTCACCTACTCTTTAAGGCATGTCCCACCCAGTAATCACTAGTTGCTTTTCAGAAGTTTTTAGCCTCGCAATTAATTCTAATTAGTCAAATATTCCATCTGGACCCTTTGACTAACTCTTAGAGTTAATGTGACCATATTAAAAAAAAAACAAAACAAAAAACTACCAGGTTTATGGCAAGAGATTAGGAAGCCGTTGAAGGTTTTAAAGTCTCAAAAATCTTTAGCTCACAAGGTCAATTGACAGCCAACAAAAGGTACAACCATAAAAAGAAAAAAGGGGGGAACCCCATACATTAAAAAAAAAGGAAACTAACCTTCAGTAGACTGGCAGCACAATACATTTCTTACCACCCTCCACATAGCCCTGAGCATAGCCATTGCTCATGTGAGCAGCTAAAAAAGCCTGCCTGCTCCAGGATCACTTGAATTAAGCCTTTATCCTTATCTTGGCCAGATCAGCAGGACTGTCATTGGTGAAACCTCACCAATTAGTTTGCACCTCTTTCACCAGCCAGCTATTAGCTTTCCACAGGCATTGCTGTTGCTCATTCCTCATGCCTCACAAAGAAGGTGCCAGGTGAAGAAAGGGAACTTCTTTCACCGGGAGGCTGCTGGCTTGTCAAACAAGAAACCATTGTAGCGCATTGTGTTAGTCAGCAAATTGATCCCACTTACACTTTGGCAGGTGAGCGAGCGGCTGATTGACAGGCACCTCGGTTACATGAAATAAATTATGGGATGCAAATTAGTCCAGCTTAATTGCGGTTAATACACTCGTGTTCACAGGATTTCTTGTATTTGGTTTCTTAATGAACCTCACAGTGCTGCTAAGATTTAATGGCATCTGTCTCTGCAGTGGCAGCTGCCTCGCTCCATAGACAAGCATGTCTCTCTGTGGCTGTTTATTCAACTTCTGTTGCACCATAAGGGAGTGTTGCAGGGATTAGGAGCTCACGGCCTGGGTGTTACCTGGACTATTATGTTGACCTCACTTACCTTCTGTTAGTAAAATCTCCAAACCAACAAATATCCACTGGGTGAAGGCCTGTTAAGTCCTCTCCGTGTGGCAGATGGTTTCTTATGCCGTCACGGTTGAAATCTGTGTGATCGAGATGCACGAGTGAGGTTCAAGAGACCTGCACAGCATCCAGGTTCCTGGGGCTGGGTCAAAATTCATGTGTGCTGCCAACGACATTTTGAAACAATCTCTGGAAGACCTGACAAGACTTTTGAAAGCAAAGGGCTGGTAATACTGCTCCCTGTGTGCCATTAGCCCAGACAGCTAATCCCTCCAGGCCTCCGAAAACTAATACTTCTCTTCTCCTCTGCTTTGCCCGCCTTGTCTACTGCGACTCGCTGAGAAACAGACTTTCTTTCTGTGTGCATACAGCCCTTACCATAGCAGGGCCCCAACCTGGGCATGCAAAAAATTCTTGGCAGGACTGAAGATTGAATCCAGACCTTTTTTTAAGAGGCGAAGCCATGCCCCAGCCACGAGGCCTTTCTTCCCCTTTTCTATCCTACCAGCTTAAAACACTGTGCAGAAGAGGCTGTCACTGCTTTCATTTTACAGACAAGGGAAACCAAGGTACGTACAAATTATGTTAACCAAGGTCACCCAAGGAGAGAGTTATTGAGCAAAGAACAACCACCAATCTTCGCCGGCCTCTCCTCCCTTCTCCAAACAAGCAGCAGATAAATATTACTCTTTCTAAATTGTTTCCCCGGCAGTCCAGTGTAGCCACAGTTGTGGCAATTCCATTATAAATTCCATTCTCTTCAAGTTAATAACTTGGCCGCTTCAATCGGTCTCTCCGGGAAAAGGTATGCCTTCGCTGAGAATCAGCTTGGACATTTAACTAACATGTTCATCTACCTTTCTTCATGTCCTTTCATACCTCAAATGGCCGTGTCAGATTTTGTAAGAGAAAGATTGTGTGTAATGGATAAGGACGGTCTTCGATTTTCTCAGGAAAGCTTTGTTTATGGGGGAGAGAGTCACGGCAGTGCTACAAATGCTGCAGAGCTTGGTAAAGCAAAGAAAATCAAAGCACTCTCCCCACCTCGTCGTATAAAGGAAGCCTCAAAGCCTTAAAAAAAAACGTTTCTATAGGAGAAACACTGCGTGCTTCCGTCCTCATCACTTGAGCTACAAGATAGCAATGTCTCTACACCTACCCTCAAGGTTGGAGGAAAGCTAAAACCTAGCCTCGGGGCCTGGGTGTCCCACTAGAGTCAGTTTTACCCTGCGAGCACTGGTTTTGATTTGTTCTTTTAGGTCAGTACAAGCTGCATCTCCCGTGCAAAACAGCAAGTTGCAGCTTAGGGGCTGTATCAGCCGACCTCTTCCAGTGCAGACCTGGGCTCATTAAGAAATCCCCGCAAGAAGTTTCAGCAAACCTAAGCTGCTGTTTGTATCAGTGGTCTAAGGTGTTATTTTTTAATTCCAGTTGTTTTTCCCGACATCCCAGCAATTCCCAAAATAAACCATTTTCTTCATGTGCTGTGAGTTTCCATTTAGTCAAAAAATATAAATGTTCGTTTTTTTTTGTTTTTTTTTAATTCCAAACTAGTTTCCCCAGCAGCCAATTCATGTGACTGCCTCCTCCCTTAGGAGCACTATAGAAAGTCCCATTACTCAGGTTTTTTTCTGTTTCCTATCTTAGATCATACCACCTCTCCTTTCCCAGCATGGAAACTTTTACATGAACACAACTTACTCAAACGTAGGCAGGACAATAAACTCAGTCTGCCTAATCACACTCATATGAGGGAGTTTATCCTGCGGTCAATGTACACAATTATAATGAAGCATTGTGTAGATCACACATCAGAGTCTGTCTGATGGCGTGCTCAGGACTGGGGCCATGGACTATCACTTATGCTGAAAGTTTAAGGAGAATTTGGGGTATTTTATTTCAGCTTTCCTGTGCAAACTAGCCCCTGTGAGTTAGAGACACCAACACCAATTATCCCAGGCTTTCCAAAATCTGTCTTTGATAGTGACAACTCCACCTTCACCTACCCTACACCTCACTCGAATGTTAATCCTAAAGTTAAGGCTTACTGGATGTGTCTACATGTTCATTAATGTGCCTCTGCTATGGTGCATTGTTTAATACTTTTAATATGAGGTACTAGATAAAGGCACAGTAGTTGCACTAATGCAGTAGCAAAGGCAAACTTTTTTTTTTTTGGAACGCTTAACATGCAGTCGACTCACTCTACTGTGCATTAGCAGAGTTTTTGCTGCGATGCGCTAATGCACAGGACAACTGCACATTAAGGCAACTCATGTAGACGCACCCACTGTACTGCTAATGATGTGACAACATAGGCTCCAGGCCTAAAGTGTAGGAGAAGAGGCACTCCTTTTCTGCAGCCACCCACTTCAGACAAGAGCAATGGCACATCCTCCACAGACTTGCCTTTCCACTTCAGCCAGCAGGTCGAGTAGCAAGGACCTGTCAACTACCACAGAAACTAGGACAGTAATTAGTAGTTGTTAATCATGACATGCATGCAAAAGGGGTTATGCTCACACAGTACATTGTGCATTAGACTGATGCAATGGCACCAGCAGAGGCTTCAGGAACTCTGCACTGCAGTCACAGCTCCAGATGTACCCAAACTGGTAGCATCAGATCAACAACATAGGGGAGAGGGGGAATAAGAGGTCTGTGAATACTTGAGTTAACTAGTTTAGAGGCTGCTCACATAACCTGAATGAAAATATGGAAAAACCCTTCTCCATGGCAAGTGTCAGGAAAGTTTCCCCTGGGCGGGCTTATTTGTGAATCACTGGGCTTGTACACCAGCTGAAGTCTACTCCAGGAACTTACACTTTCCACTTCATGTTCTCTCATTGCCTGTGGCAATAGCAGGAGGGCTATGTTAGTCAAAACCACTGGGGCAACTGTCATCATTAACCTCTACAGTGACCTACTGCCAGTTATATTTGCTCTGACCCTCGTGGGAATGCCAGCAAAAGCAAGCTAGAGTGAACCTGAAAAGCAAGCACAGACCCCTCTGCCCCTTAAAAGCAGCAGCGCAGCCCTGCAGGGTAGTACAGTTGTGGATGAGAAGGCATCAGCCAGCCCATTGTTTTATTAGCAGTCACAGAAGACGCTCCAGAAAAAAAGTGGAGAGGAAAACCCACTTGTCTCCTGCCATTGCACACCTCATCTTTGTTCTAAAAAACGGCTGCTGTGAAAAGTGTACACCTTAAGGTTAGGAACTGGAAGATGCGCTGATGGTTTTTACAGATTAAGCCACTGTAGCCAAGATCTGACAAGCATATAGTGTTTTAGACAAATGAACCTTCAGGTCACACCGAACTGAAAACATGTGCTATGTGCCTTCTTTGGCAAAGCTATAAAAATAAAACGATGAGGGTAAGTCAGAGCTGATCTTTTATTATTAGGAAGGGACCTCTTTTGGGAGAAATATTTATTTATGCGCTGGCGATAATACGCCAACTGGCACTAGGGAGCTACGCAGCATGCCATGTCCCACACGAAGATTGCTTGCAAGAATGATTAAAAGGACCTACTGGTAAAAAAACTGTAGGCAGGGTTTAAGACTCGCTTGCAGGAACAGCGCAAAACTGTTTTCAGTGGACCCAGGGCTCCAGTCATCCATCCCAGGTAAATTTGTGATGAAGTTAAACCTGCCTCAGAAAAGCCCAAGCTAAGTGGCATCTCGCTACAGAAACACTGAGACTTTCCTTTTCTTCAACATTTATTTTCCATAGTTAAATTCAGGTATCACATTTTCTACATGAAATGATTCTCATGCTCAGACCCCACCCCCAAGAAAAAGAATTGGATAAAGCTTTAAAATGGAATGCACCAAAGTAAAGAAACTGCTATTGCACCCAAGCTACAGAGAACACAGACACCAAAACAGAAAGATCTGCATAGAACAGAACTGTAGGGCAATGCCAGGAAGAAGCCAAAAGTTAGTACTCCGCGTAGCCGAGCCACGTTGCATCTCTCTACACAGCCTCCAACCACTTACTTTGGAAAGTGCTAACATAGTTTGCAACTCATGTTTAGATGGGCAAAAGAGCTGGGATCCATTAGGTTAGCCTAGAAAGCAAACAAAAAAAAAAGGGAACTCTCAAAATCTGCCTGCACTGGGCTTCAAGCCCAATTTAAATCCATTTCAAAACACTGATTTCATCAAGCAGGTTAGAAGCATTTTGGTAGCACTGCACTGTTTGGCTGGATTCATCCTGGCTAGCAAAATCTATGCCTGAAGTGGACTTGGGTCATTTTACACATCCTTCAAGACCCAGTGTCAGCCAGAGAAAAGTTGAACAGAATTCAAAATATCCATTCCTATAGGACAAAAACACTCTGTCCCTCAATACTATTTTGAGGCTAGGTTAAAGGAGTGGTCCACTTGTACTATCAACACAGTTCATTAGAGACTTGGCATACTGTTTTAACATTACGGGGAAGCCATGATGGCATGCAGTTTGAAGCCTTCGACAATTTAGTGTTGAATCTCAGGCATTTCCTTGAGTCGGGCCAGGACAGGGCCTTGGAATGGCCTTAGCCATTACTCCATTTATGTGACATTCTTTGTTTTTTCTTAGAGTGGCATTGATGAAGCAAGTTTGCCGATTCTTTACTTATCCAAAAGGAGAGATGAACAGGTTGACGGAGTTAACAGTCCAAGAGAAGAGAAAAAAAAAATGCGGCTCCTCAAGGAGCAACCCAGTGCTCAGTAGTGCTAAAGAGGTAGGATTTTTTTTTCTTGTGCTATGGGAAAAGCAGATCCTGTGCAAATGTTGCAACTTCATGCATACGTAACCATGGAGGACTGGCTGCAAATGCAGCCCCTGAAGGATCCTTAGCCATAATTAAAGTCACTACCAACTTGCATTCTGCGTTAAGATATATGCAGTCATGTAGCAAACCTTCCTCTGCTGGTTTATCTATTAAATCACAACAGCAGGTCAGCAGAGAATGCCATCTGTTCTAAGCAGCATGGCCACAGTGGCACATGATCAAATGGAAAGCAAATGCTCAAGACAAGAAGGCTGCCATTTGCTTCTTAACTTTAAGGAATTTAGGGGGGGGTCCTGGTCTGAGACCAAAGGATTTGAAGCTTCCGGTAAATTTCTCTTGACAGGGTTTAAAGAAAGTCAGTTTACCAAAAGCCTAAATATGCCAGGTAAGAGTAGTACCTTAACTACACACATCCGTATAGACAAGTGACCTTGAAGCTTCTCCCTGCAGGCATTTTACTAAACCCCTGAAGATCCGGCCTTTGGAAAGAGATATTTTAAACTCTGTTATCAGCTTAAAACATCAGGAACACTGGCACAGGTGTCACTTTTTCTGGTTTTAATGATGGGGTGACAAGTAAACACCAACACATGAAGAAAACGAACAGCATTTCACAGAGCACGGAGCAAGAGATGAAGTCGCAGCTAGTGCTTCGCAGTCGAGTCTCGAGGGTAGAACTCAGCCAGGGTACTCTGCGGGATTCTCTTCAGCATCTCCTTGGGGAAAATACGCAGCAGCTGCCAGCCAATGTCTAAAGTCTCGTAAACAGTGCGATTTTCATAAGGACCTGAAGAGGTAACAGCAGACTGATCACACTTTGCCATTTTAAGTAAATGGTCAAATAAGACATGCGCTCTCGTGGTGTTAGGACAAACATAAGCAGATCACCACCGAACACCTGAAACGTTACACTTACCCTGAGCGATAAAGTTCTTTTCAAACTTATGCAGAAACTCCAGATAGAGAAGATCATCTGAAGTAAGAGCTTCCTCACCAACTACAGCCTTCATTGCTTGCACATCCTTTCCAATAGCATAGCAAGCATACTAGTAGGGGGAAAAAAAAAAAATAAAGCAGAGAGCAAGTGTCAACCATGACGATGCTCAGAGCATGAGACTCCTGGCAGTGCCAATGCATTTGATGCTTACAGATAGACAGTATCTTATTCCTGAGTTCTACTCCTCACTTTAATGCGAAAGCAAAACAGTACAGCATCGACAGTGATAGCTGAAGTACAAAATCCTTAACGCAGTGGTATTTGGACTACAATACAAAGAAACTTATGTTGCACTGTTGCTTACAAAGCAACTGCTGGAGAATTCTAGACATTTTGCAGGGAAAACTTCCCCCACAAAAAACAAAAGAAAAAACACCCTATGAACAGAGCGGCATGGCAAGGTAAGCAAACAGCATTTGTTGCAGTGAACCTAAAAAAATAAAAATTCTTCAATGTACTGCTGGTGAACCAAGGGTCTACACCAGTGTTTCTCAACCTCGAGTTCCTTTCAGGGGTGCTGTGGGATGCCACACAATATTAGCACTGTTAGGTGTATAAACATGATTCACAAGTAAACATGTTCGATTGAGTCTGCTCCGAAGCAGTGGATCTCCAGCATGTCACGGGACAAAAAAAGCGTGTGTATAAGTGTCCAATGATTTCAAATAAGGAATCATAGCGTTGCAATATATTGTTTTTCCAGGCTCAAAAGAGTGGAAACTAGGAGTTGGCATTTTCCAAAGGGTGCCTTGAACCTAAAATGGTTGAGAACCACTAGTCCACACACTCACCCACCCTCCCTTATTATAAGGAGGTCTTGTACCGTCAGCAGAAGCAAATGGCATTGAACAGCACTACGAATTGCTTGGGATTTAAAGTTCCTGATCGTATACGCTCATTTTCAGGATGTCAGATGAAAGCAGAGGCATATGTTCAAGGTCTCAAACTACTCTAGGTAAAGAGTAATCACACATACCAGCTGGTTGGACACATCTGCATGATCTTTCCTGGTCATGCCTTCTCCAATAGCAGACTTCATCAGTCGAGATAAAGAGGGCAACACATTGATGGGTGGGTAAATCTGGAGGGAAGACAAGAAGTTAGGAGCACTTAAAGAAACAAAAACAAAAAAGACACATTTGGAAGGTCTTCATTACTGAACACATCCTTAAATTTTTAGGCACTCTTAATACCCAGAAAACCCTAAAAATCTTGACAGTATGGGAAACTGACAAAGCAGGTAGTAGTTAGAGTCCAGTTCAGAAAGCCAAGTGATTAAAATTTTAGTACCTGGGCATGACGAAAGTGACAGAGATTAAAGCAGTGTTCCTAAGCTTAGGCAACAGCATCAAAAAAACAAAAAAATCCAAGAGTGTTGTACCAGCAGTGTTCATAGGGATTTAAGTATAACCGGAAAGGGGGGGGGGGGGG